GACGATTTTTTCTTAACTCGCAAAAATCTTGAAACAATTTGCTACCGATTGGTGATAAAATTTTTTGGAAATAATGAAATAGGGGGGATAACGCCTTTTATTTCAGGGCTGATTTTTCAAAAATTTATTTTAAAAAAAGTAATAACTAGCAAATGTTTTTTATTAGCTCGCAATTTTCTTCAGAACTACTTCAATGAGGAAAAAAATAAAAATTTGGAATATCTATACATGAGGGGCTAATTGATCGGATCTGAATTCACCAGGTTTCCGATTGAATCATTTCATACGTGTCCTAGCTCAACCTTTAACGAACTTCCTCCAATGTGAATAAAAAATTATTACAAATAAATGATTATCCACTCACTGTATTCGTAAACTCAGCTATAAGCGGTGAAATACTGTAATTTCCCTCGCACCAGTCGACTGGTGAGCTCCCAGGCTCCAATAATTTCCACATAATTTTCTCACCTCCAATTTCATTAAAATTCACTCAAAGGCACAATGATCGAGACACTACTGAAACCAACAACAGTCTGGTCCACGGTATTATCACTTCGAATCAAGGCACCAATGCGATAAACAACAGCTGCAGTTACTGCAATCGTTGGATCAACAGAAACGTCAGTGGCATGCGACATGCGTTCCTTTGTTTTCGTTCCAGTAGAACGTCAGTGGCACTTGCGTTGTCCAGTGACAAAGGGCACTGCGCATTCGCCACTGCGCACAGCGTGCTGCTCCAAAATGCTCCGAAAAAATATGAAATGTGAGCAGCTGTTGGTAAGGTATAATAGAGGAAGATAATGTCAAGTGTCCCGCATAAGTATTTCTCACAATGACGAAATTACGGTTTCTCTGTTCCCTTCCCCTTACCTTTCAGTTCCCCACCCCACACGATTGCCGTGAAATCATCGTGTATATGTAATAGACTAATTAGACTTTGTCTGAATTAGTGAATCATTGAAAAAAAGATTAGACTTTGCCGGATCATTGAAATTTAATGGTCAAAATTTTCGACAATATTCTTTTTATTTTATATAATATTTGTTTATTGCATATAATTTCATAATTAATTAAATAGAATTATATTATATTAAATACTTTTGTATTTAATGTAATGTTTTTTTAATTTTTTTCGAATACATCTGCATAAAACAGGAGATTTCTGGAGTAGCAGAAATCCGACGGTTTAGTTAATCACGCTCCGCTGTTCGTTCAAATGCAAGGATGCTTATCCAAAATCACGAGTACTTAAAAAAATGGATTTTTTTATATGAGAGATGAAGATATTCCCTTCATTTTTACGCGAAATAGACAAAATGCACCAAATGCATGCGCTAACATCATGCGCTTATGTGGGGTAGAATCATTCAAATATTTCCTTTTTTGCCCGGGTACCCCAGATTTTTTTCTGGCCATTGAATTCAGTATGATTTTACACATTACCTTCTATGTTTATTTCTATTTTTAGAGTCTTCTAGTAGGTGAATTATCAATTTGAATATTAATTTCATAAGAGCCCGCGTATCAGGAAAAATTAGTTTACTCATTTCTGCCGAGGCTGTTGCGATTAATTTTTGTTTAACGTTAGAAAAGTTAGTTTTATATGTTCTGCTGTAAGCCGAAAAAATTACAGTATTTTCCTTGGCCAGGAAAAAAAAAAATTAACGACACTGGCTAAACATCCTCCACAGCTTTGAAAATCCCTAAAAGAAAAATTAAAACATAGATTGTCCAAAATTATGGTTATTTTTCTCTCTTATTTTGAGTTCATGGCGAAAAACGAAAAATAAAATTTGAAATGTTGTTCGAGCCTGTTCTTCATCTTTTCCTCTTGATCTGATAATTTTATTGGATAATTTGGCTGGAGAAGAATGCTTTAGCTGTTGGTAAAGAGGGAATTCAGGGCTCAGCGCTCTCTACCTCTGGAGTTAAGAGTCATGGAGTGTTTTCCCGCCAGAATGGCCAGATGATCGAGTCCCTAATTTAATGGAGGACGATTTACCCGATTTTATTCGATAACAAGAGTGAAATTATTTATATTAGTGACTTAGTAGTGCGCAATATTTATTCAGAATGCCATTGACGCTGAAACCGATGAGGTATGCTCATCCGGAGGGTCACACGTCCGTTTGCTACTTCACTGGAGAAAAGTGAGTTGAATAGTGGTGATATCTTTGGTGATTTAGTTCACTTAGGGATGAAAACTTTAGTAATGGGGAAGGGGAATAATGCAATGAATCAAAGTAATTTTTTTTTTTTTTATAACTTGATGGGGGACTTTCTTTAATAGACAATTCTCTTAGATAATGCACTATTTATTACTGTGTTATCATTTTCCTTTCAGTCTTAAATTTTTTAATTTCTCTGTGAAGAAAAAAATTACATAGAAAAACCTAGCAAATTGATAGAAAACTTGATTATCCATTTAATTTCCATTGCACTTCTATTGAGAATTCTATCTAGTTTTTATTAAGACAGTGTCCAATAGAAATAATTTTATACAAAAAATCTGTTGAATTTGATTTTTTTTACAACTTTTTCTATTGCATTATTTTCTACAGGAATTCGACCGGAATTTTTAATGTTTTTAATGTTTACTTCATTTTTCATTTTTCTTCTCTTGCCAAATTTGAATCGAGAAGTTTCTATTGAAAATACTTCAATAGAATAAATTGTATAGAAAAATAGAATTTCAATCATTTTTTCTATCGAACATTTTCCACTGAAAATGTCACCTAAAAAAACGCGCAGATAAACTACGGAAATTTTCAACAGAATCGTCCTAAAAATAACAGGAACTTCAACATAAATCCAATAGAATTGTCTAACCAATTGTGTTTCAATGATAAAATTCAATAGAAAACCTAGCGAATTGGCTAAAAAATTCTGTTATAATTCTATAAAAATTCTATGGGGTTTATATAGGATTTCTATTGTAATTCTATTGAAGAATTTCATTTGTTTTTTGCTCCAATTCTATTGAATATTCGATAAGAAAACGTCCATAGATTTCGAATTTCTGTTTGAATTTTTCTCTCGACATTTTTATTCCCTTGACACTTTTACAATAGAATTCCAATAGAACCCCATAGAATTCCCGGAGATTTCTAATACAATTTTCCAACGAATTCGCTAGGTTTCCCACTGAATTTTTTCATGCCTGAATTCCCCCCAAAGCATTAATCCACACCGCCTCCACAATAATCCTTTTTCTTGAAAAAGAGGTGGCTTAATAACCTGTGGAGCAGACGGTGACGTTCGATCATGGCTAGACCTGATGGACGACGACCCCTCCGACAGTTGCATAGCGGAGCAAGCGACCTGCTGCCTCTCCAAATCCTCAAACATCTACGTAGGAAACGACAACAACACAGTCCAAATCCTCACCTACCCCGACCTCGAGAAATCCGGTATAGTGACGCGTTTCTCCTCGACAGTCTCCTGCCTCGCCAGCACCCAAACCAGCAGCCTGCTAGTCTCCGGTGGCTGTGACATGCGTCTCCAGATAACAAACCTGGAGACGTCGACCACAACCGAGCTGCAGGGCCACGAGGCGCCGATCCTGGGAGTCAGCCTGGACCCAAAGGAGGAGTTCGTCGCCTCCTCCAGTGGAGACGGCACCCTCCGCATCTGGAGCATCAAGGAGAAGAAGCCCATTCACACCCTCAACGTAGTCCCAAAATGCAATTCATTCTTCACAGCTAAACTCCACTCAACCCCCTCGTTCGACCCAAAAGATGGGAAATACTTGGCCTACCCCCAGAGCTCTGAAGTGATCGTCACCGAGAGGGGCACCTGGAGGGAACTCTTCAGACTATCCTCTCCCAACTTGAAACAGGACATTAACATCTGCAAATTTTCGGAATGTGGAACGAGACTGGCGGCTTCTTCGGTGATAGGAGAAGTCGTCGTCTGGGATGTGGTGAGCCAGAGGGAAATTGGAAGCGTCGAGCACCACCAGAAGTCCAAGATAACTTGTCTTGTGTGGCACCTGAAGACCCCAACAGAGCTGGCCTTCTGCGACAGTCTGGGTCAGCTGGGGTCCATCGACGTTTCAGCTGAGGAATCCCTGAATGATTCCTCAGAACTCCTCACGAATGGCCAAGAGGTCGAGGAGGACGGCCACATGAACTTGGATGAGGACGAAGACGATGAGAACGTCATCTCCTTGAGTAGATTGAAGGCTTCAGTCCTCGGGGATGACGCCGCGAGCCACTCGGACGTGCTGTCAGTCCATGGGGACAAGCAGGTGCTGCCTCAGGTCCACATGCAGGACGCGTTTCAGCCAGGATCGACTCCGGTTCACTTGCTGTCTAGATTCATGATGTGGAACGACGTGGGGATCGTCAAGTGTTACAAGAGTGAGGACGAGGAGGACTCCACGATTGAGGTGGAGTTCCATGACACCTCTGTCCACCACAGCATGCACATGAATAATTATCTTGGTCATACCATGGCAGCACTCTCCACTGAGGCACTTGCTCTCGGCTGTCCCTCGTCAGATGGAGATGCCAGCAAATTGGTGGTGATAATGCTGCAGGCCTGGGGGACTGGCAACAAAGAGTGGAGCATTGATCTTCATGGAGACGAGGAGGCACGAGCTGTGGCTGCTGGCAGCAATTTCGTGGCTCTGGCGACGTCCAAGAGACATCTGAGGATCTTCATGATCTCGGGGGTTCAGAGGGAGGTTGTGGCCATACCTGGGGCTGTCGTTGCCATTAATGCACTGGGGAACCATCTGGTGGTGGCGTACCACTCGGGGGTCGGGGTCGCCAACGACCAGGTGATGAGTCTCATGTGGCTGCAGGTTCGTGGACATCTTTGTTATTTTTTCATTGGTGGAGGAGGAGAGCCGTTCTGTGAGGCGTGGGAAGGGCCGTTTTTTAATTGATGATTAGCTCAGATAATGCAGTATCTACTGTTGTAGTAAATTGCTGGATTATTTAGTTTTGTTTGTGGAGGAAGTGAATGAGTCATTTTACTAGTGAATTTTTCTGCTCAATTCATATTTTTAAAGTTCTCTAGGAATTTTTGCATTTATTCAGGAATTCGATACTCTGGTTCGTTTTCAGATTTATACAATTGATGGAGAAATTAATGTCATTTTAAGCCTAATTTTTAAGGGGAATTCGTAAATTAATTCAGAATTCGAATTCTTGAAGATTATGACATTTTTCGTAAATAGTAATTTATGAGAATTTTTTAAAAATATGTTCATAATATCTTCTGAATTATTTATTCTTATTTGTGTAGGAAGTGGATGATTTTAGAAGTGCATTTTCCTTCTCAATTCATATTTTTAAAGTTCTCCAAGAATTTTTGTATTTATTCATTCAGGAATTTACTACTCTCGTTCGTCTTCATTTTCATTCAATTGATGAAGAAGTAAATGAGTCATTTCAAGATAAAATGCCAACAGATATCTTCATTGTGGTTTTGTTAAATAAGTGAATACTGCAAACGTTTTCTCATGTAATTGTTCCCTTCTGCAAGAATATTTCACTATTAATCCCTTCAATTATTAATTATTCGTAATTTTATATCCACTGTTTCTTCATTGGTGACTGATTCCCAGATCAAATCCCAAAATCTGAGTGCCCTGACAATTTTTTTGTTGAATCCTCTTCAAAGTTCATACTTAAACATCAGCATTGCTATTTAACCCTGAGTTACTGACCATTTCGCTATGATTTTCCCCAGGTTCGTGGAGGTCTGGTTAAATCCCAGACACTTCCCCTCCCTCTCTCCCCCCAGAATGAGCTCATGTGGCTGGGAATGACTGATCGAGCGTCACCAGCTGTCATGGATGCCGATGGGGTCATCAGGGTCTACAGCAAAAAGTCTGGCCTCTGGAGGGTTGCTATCGACACTGGGCACCAGCCCAAGGGGAAGATGGATCAGTATTTTGTTGTGGGTATCAGCGAGAGGGAGAGATGCATCAGGTGTGTCCTGTGCAAGGGAAGTCATTACCCTGCTACCACACCCAGACCAACTGTCGTTGAAATCCCCTTCGATACTCCGCTGTGTGAGGGCGAGGCAGACAGAACGAGGAAGGAAGCTGCCATCTGGAAAATTGGGACGTGTCCAGAGGACGAGGACACTGCCTTGTTCATGCTCATTGGGTATTTCTGCAATAATAAACTCGAGCATTGTGTTGTTGATCTGTGTCAGAATGTCGCTAAACAGAGCTTAATTGAGTTGGCTATCAAGTATGCCAGGAAGACTGATCGAATTGCTCTGGCGAAAAAATTACAGACCATTGCGGAGGCCAGAATGGGGGAGGGGGAGGCGGAGGGAGAGGGCGAGAGGGGGGAGGAGGATGTCGTGTCACAGGATATGTTCGAGGGGATGGAGGAGGAGAAGGGGGAGACTGTGGAGGAGGAGATACTCTTGACACCGATTGGAAATAGGAAACCTGAGACGATTGAAATTAAACCGTTGAGTCTTAGTTTCAAGAGGGGAAATCCGTTCTTGAAGAAACAGACGACTGCTTCACCTAATGGTATTTATGGGGTTTTTTATGGGGGTTTGAAATTTTTGTGGGGGTTTCAGGATGAGAAATTCATGTACGAAAGAATTTTAGTGAAATATGGTGAGATGTTCTCTGCAAAAATTTCTTGGGTTAAAGTTAGTTATCGAAATGTTTCAATGATTAGTAAAATTCTGGTTTTTTTCAGCACTCGATGGACTAAACACACTTCCCGTCAAGCCTCAGAAGATCCCAACGATATCCATCACAAAACCAAAAGCAAAACCAAAAATGCTGGCCGAGAAGAAGCCAAGTTTTGTCACTTGGTTCGATAAGAACAAGCAAGAATTGCAGGAGGAATTCCCAGAGGTTGCTCCACGCGATCTAACGAAAATTGGATTGGAGAGGTACAAGGCGGAGTCTGATTCACAGGACCTTGAGACGAAGAAAAGAAAATTGTCGGGCTCAGAGACGCAAGACAGCGAGGCGAAGAGACCTGCGAGTAAATTACTAGACTTTGCGTTCACGAAGGAATAGGAAAAACGATTGAAACAACTCATTCATTTAATATATTCTCCGATTTGTACATGTGATACTAAATAAATTTTCATAGAAAAAAACCAACAGATTTTATTTATGACAAATAAAACTATTTGCTGAAAGATTTTACTCGATATATGAAATTTATGAGTTTTAAGGAGTTTTGAGTGCTTTAACTATTTTTTTTCCAGTGAAATGCTTTTTTATTTATGTAGTCAAACCTCATAGCTTTCATTTGAGTCTCATTTGATTTCAAGTTTCCAGACATTTTACAATTATTTTATTATTTAAATTTTGCAAATATTTTAAAAATTTGAAAAAAAATTGGAAAGTTTACTGTTGGAGGAAGATTGACGAAATCGTTTATAAACAATAAATTTTTCACCATAAAAATCGGTTGTTCAAAATCGCAACAAATTTATTCATAATTAGAATCTTACGAGAAATCAATTTCATGCCTAAAAAAATTGGTTTTCCAAGAGTTTAAACAATTTAAATTATTTATTTGTAAATAACGAATGTTTAAAAAAATAATGCAGTGCAAAATATAATTTTAAAGACACTGAATATTCTTTCTGATTTTTTCAAATTTTTCTCGCGCAATTTAACTGACAAATTTGAGGATTAAAAATGGTTGAATATGTAGTGTTGTCTGTACCAAATTGTAAAAAATACTTGAATATCCTTAAGTCGATTTAAGATTGAATTTTTTATCGAATTTTTTATCTCACGCACGAAAAAATTTCATAGAAAAACCTAGCGAATTCTGCTTCACTGCATTTTTTTTAATAGAGAATGAATTTCAAAACTATTCACTTGAAATTTCAAGAGTATTTAGTTTTCATCGCAGTTCTGTTGAATAATTTTTGAAACGTTTTGTCTCAGAGAACTTTTTTCAGTGATAGAAACAAATCAACACGCTTCAATCCATCTAAATAAAATTTCATCGTAAAAGGTTTTATGCACGGTAAAATAAAATCAAATGCAGTTTCCCATCTTTCAGTGGGTTTTCATCGCCTTGACATTTGCCTCTCATCTCTCTTCTACCAAGAATTATCAGAGAAACGCGGGAAAATATAGAACAAACTTGTTACATGACCTACTGACGCCACCTCGAGAAGTTTTTAAATCAATTATCCCTCGCAACATTGATAAATAGAACTGTTGAACCCATAAACCCAGCCATTCAATTGGTCTCAATCAACATTTCAAATTCGCTAATTGGACTGATGGGCGAGACCTCTCTCCTCTCATATTAAAAACATCAGGAGAAAAGCCTAGCGCATTCTATAAAAAATTCTAGTGGAGTCCTACTGCATTTTTATTGAGATTCTAGAGAAGAATTTTCGTATAATTTTGTTTTGGAGTTTTTTTCTAATCGATTTTTATAGAAATCAGTGGCGAAGCGTTAAAACGGTTCGGTTTTCCATGAATATCTCGAGATTTAAGGGAGATGACGAAATTTTTGTCACGGCCTTTTTCATAGCCCCCGCTTCGCTCTTCGAAAAAGGTTATTACAAAAATTTCGTTATCTCCCTTAGATTCCGAGATATTTGTCGAAAACTCAGCTAACGTCTAAATCAACTTGAACCGTTTTATCGCTTCACTAATTGGAAGTATCGATTTATATTTCTCCCTTTCATCTTCTCCGTTCGTATTTTCCACAGACCAAGGTGGAGCAAAGTGGAACGCTTATCATTGACTCAAAATCCGAATATGTCGCAATACGTTCTAATGTTTCAAGTAAAAATTCCAAATCTCCGTTCACAGACGAAGATGTGAAGAATTAGAGTGAATCAAAAACGTTCCAGTTTGCCCGACTCTATCCTACAGAAATTAATCATCGTAAATGCTAGAATTTTGTTTTGCAACTAAATTTTTTATTTTTCGTATCACGAAATTGAATGACAACATTTTGAAAAATCAGGTCTAGAGATAAAGAAATTTTATAGAAGAGTTTTTCTAGTTTTGTGATTTGATGGGTCTTTTTTCCAAGTTTTTAGGGTAAAAAATATGTGATATAAATAAATCAACAGCTGGCGATTCTTCTGTTCAATTAATTTCTTTGAATTTTTTCGATAGAAACCCTTAACAATAAATGTTACAAACTCTTTCTCCACATAATTTTATCGTCTCGCATTACGCTGATGTTTATAAAAAAAATGTCCACAGATTGCTCTAGTAATATGACCCACTGACGCCTTGTGCAAGCACTCGAAGCCAGAAGTTCGTGATAAATAAAAATTTTGAAATGCCTTTTTGTAGATTGTTGTAAATTCAGAACAAACGCTATAGCACATCCGCTGAAAAATTCCACTTCAAACTTTTCTTATTGGAAATTTATGAATTTAGACGTCAGGCGCATTTGAATTTTTATTTTTGTGGATTTGAATTTTTTATTCATCTTGGAGTTTCAACAAAATATTTCAATGACAGCTTCAATTCTCAATCTCACTGTGAATGTTAAAAATCATATTCAATCGAATTTTTAATAAAAAATTGGATGGAATATGATGAATTTCCACAATTTTTAATAATTTTGTTGTCATATGGATCTAAAAATTGGTGTTCCATTCAATATTCCAGAAATTACCTGATAAATCAGTAGCAACATAAATGAGAATTTCAAGTGAATTAGTCGTTTTTTTGTCATTTTGAGATTTTTCACACGAAATTTCAAGAGTAATTTTCTGAGAGTATTGAATTTTATTGAGGATCTGTAGCATAAATTTCAAAGAATTTTTTTATACCAAGTTTTTACAGTTCTTTTGATTCATCTGTTTTGTCGATCCCGTTAGTACCCTTTCCCACGCAAATATCTGGGCGTTGATTTGAATCAAACATCACATTCAATTGCACAATAGTTATAGTATATGAATTTCCACAATTTTTTATCATTTACATCGTCTTACGAAGCTGAAAATTGAAATTTCTCTTGATAACAACAAAAAAATAAATGGGAATTTCAAGTGAATTAGTAGTTATTAAAAATTTAAAGATTCTCCACTCCGATTTCAGGATTAATTTTCCAAGAGTGCATTGGATTTTATTGAGATTCTGTGGAGTAGATTTCAAAGTTTTGTCTTGAAGATTTTTTTTCAATTGTATTATACTGAGTTTTTAAAGTTCCTTCGATTCATCTATTCCATCAATCCCGTTAGTATTCTTTCCCACAAAGATCCCTGAGCATTGAACTACATCGAACAACACATTCAATTGCCCAATAGTTATCTGACCACGCACGAAAAAAATTAATAGAGAAAACCTAGTGAATGCATTAGAAATAGAATAGAATTCGATTTTTCTAAAAAAGTCAATGGAATTTGATTTTTTCATTCTATTTTTCTTTTCTTCTCATCAAGTAAGTCAAACAAAAAAACTAGAAAATTTGAACCAAGGAAATTCCATAGAAAATATCCCAATACAATAAGTTATATGGAAAAATCGAATTCTATTGATTATTTTTCCAACCCAAATATCGGGCAATATAATTGGCCCATTCGACATCACGTGGTACAAGCTACAGGGTTTTCAACTGATAATTTTTTGATAATTTTCTCTGGTAGTTGCTATATAAAAAACAAAACATCATGCAGTCGAATTAACCCCTCGTCAAACTGACAGATTGAATTCAATTGTGTCGTTGTGTTAATTATACAATTTTCGTTTCTCAATTGTGAGTTTCGTCTCATGGTCCAATTATATTGCCCGACATTTGGATTGGAAAAATAATCCCCCGAATACCACACGAGCGTCAAAATTAATCGGGCATTTTCCTCAAGGTTCCCTGCGTACAAACGAAGTCGTTAAGTTTTTTAGAAAAAATCACTCGTGATTTTTTAACCTGAAAAACTTGACTCCTTCGTTTGTTTGCAACGAACCTATCGGAAAATACCCGATAATTTTGAAGCTCTTGTGGTATTACAAGTGAATATTTTCTCTTGATATCCCAGAAATTACCGGATTCACCAGTAACATAAAAATTTCAAGATTCTCCCCTCTAAATTCCAGAACCAATTTTCCACCAGTGTCTCATCTTTATTCAGATTCATCTTCAATGTGATCGATCCCGTAAATTTCCCCAAAAATCCCGAGCATAAAAATCCTCAACAGAATAAAGTGCCCCAGTAATACGACCTACTCACGCCTTCTCTCCCACGCGATCCGAGAACTTCTCAAACGAATTACCCCTCTCGACTCCGATAAACATAATCATTGAATGCATGAGCCCATCCATTCAATAGCTCCCCCAAACCCCATCTGAAATTCATTAGTTCCCGGTGTACATTAAACATGAGCTGCGCTCTCCGGGATAGACGCGCTGAGTGATCGAGTAAACTCCTTATCTATAGCGCTCACCAATCGTCCAAATTGATCTTCCAGCCAGTCTCATCGACCCTCCCCCCTTCCCCCCACACCATAAATTAAATTTAAAAAATAAGAAAAGTAATTAAAAAATTTTTTAAGCGTAAAATTTTCGACTTTTGGGGCATTTATAAATTCGCCGTAACTACACGGATGAAAAAAAATTATAAAAAAACCTAACGAAATCCTTAGAAAATTCTATTGAATTTCTATTGAACTTTCTGTTAATTTTTGGCCGATTCTATTGAAATGTTCAATAGAAAACATTCAATCGAATTCGATTTTTCTATATAACTTATTCTATTGAGATATTTTCTATAGAATTTCCTCGACTAAAATTTTCCAAGTGTTTTGTTTGATTTTCCTGATGAAAAGAAAAGAAAAATGGAATGAAAAACATTAAAATGAAAAAAAATATAGAAAATTTAAACCGAGGAAATTCTCTAGAAAATATCAGAAGAGAATAAGTTATATAAAAAAATCCAATTCTACTGATTTTTTTGGCGGTCAAGTGCGGGTAGCGAAATAAAGACTCGTGATTGAAATAAGAAACCGTTTGTATTTAGCACGTAAGATGTGTTTGCAATCGAGACTCAAATCGGATTGATCATCTTGATCGGGAACGTGAGAGTTTGAATACATTTTATTGGGGTAGGTTCGAGAATTGTCCAGAAATTTCGTGAGGGACAAAGATAGCTTGATGTTTATCTCGAACGCAACAATAGAGATTATTCGAGGCGCGTTATATGAATTTCGGAATAATAACTGATTGTGGCTCGCGCCACATTTTTTCTATTGAACATGTCAATAGAATCGGCCAAAAACCAATAGAAAGTTCAATAGAAATCGCAACAGAATTTTCTAACGAATTCGCTAGATTTTTCTGTTAAATTTTTTCGCTTGTGTCATTGTACGAGACTAAGGATTTTCAAGATTTACGTCTGCGGCAGGGAAACATTGCGGTTAACATTGTGGCCCTTAATTAGATAACATCACTTTTGAAATTTTTTGAGTTCTTAAGAATCATCAATTCAAATATTCAAATTTTCAACTATTTTCTAAATCAATAACTGAGGTAAGAAGATTGACGATTATTTGTGTAATCGAAAACGGTATGCACCTAGAAAAATTGTTCATTTGAACCAAATAAACAATTTATTCGTTTCATTTCCCGGTGTACATTAAACATGAGCTGCGCTCTCCGGGATAAACGCGCTGAGTGATCGAGTGAACTCCTTATCTGTGGCGCTCACCAATCGTCCAAATTGACCTTCCAGCCAGTCTCACCCACCCTCCCCCCTTCCCCTCGCCCGTGCCGTTGTCCCTCCTACCTCCGAAGAAGAATGCGATGTACTTAGCTACCTCAGGACTCGTCTTTTCGGTTTTCCTTCACTCGTATCGCAACAGTCGGAATTAACGGTACGTCACGCACGAATCCACTTGATAATAAATGATTATTTTCGTGATCGATTACAAAATCGCAGCGTAATCAATAATTCGTCCTTTCGGGTGCATGAATTCGAGAGAAAAATCTGTTTCTCGTTCATGAAATCAAAAAAATTGAATTAAAAAATTTTTTAAGCGTAAAAAAAATTCATTATAAATTTTTAATTAAATGAGTGGAGGTCAAATTTGAGTTTGAGTTAAAATTTTTGCTAATGAACTTTCTCCCGATCCCGACACGCGCGAGTATACCGGTAAAAACGCACTCGTGGTCGATAAGTGTTAGAAGCATCGTGTCTATTTCGATTCTCCGTTAGTTGGACGACGCGCATCAGCCGCACAGGGTCGGCTTCCCGTAATTAGGGAGAAATATTAATGTGAGAAAGTAAATAAAATTACTTTGGAATTATTTCGGCCGCAGCATGACGGATAAGGCGAAGAGAGGTGAGTAGAGAGTGATTTTTTTTCTCTATTTGAGACCGGATTTGAATTATTTTTGTAAGAGTCGGGGTTCCGTCTAATTTTAAAGCCCCACATGCACCTTCGTTGCGTCAGCCAACCAGCGAGCGCGTCAGGTATGCGTTCGAGGTTTCGGGACGATTTGAACCCATGGGCGACAACTTTCTCTTATCTTTCTTGTTTGAAGTTTATATTTAAATTTATCTACTTCCGGGAATAATAGTTGCGTTTTTACGGGGAGTGGGGATGGTATTGACTCAAGGGCAGGTTGGAGTACACGTGTGACTGGAGTTTTATGAATGACCAGCTGTCTGACGCGGCGTCACTCCGGGGCTATTTACTCCATGAATTTTCATGGATTGAGATGAAATCACATTTTTTTAAGCATGCATTTTTTGAAAAGTGCAGAATTGCTCTCGAATGCTTTTTAAGACGAGAATTTTATAAATAATTTATTCTCGAGCGGTGACTTTTCTACTATGTTCTGGGAGACCTGAAGAAATTCGAAAGTTTTCCGGATAGATCTAAAAATTTCCAGAATTCGGTGAATAGGCAGATGGATTTTGTCTGCTTTCTTGTAAGGAATCGTGTTCGAAATAATTTCATAGAAATTTCTATTGGAATTTTATTTTTTTTAAGGATTTTGGAGCATAGAAAAAGTTAATAGAAAAATCTATCGAATTCGTTAAATAATTCTATTGAATTTCTATTGAACTCTCCATTACTTTTTGGCCGATTCTACTAAAATTTTCAATAGTAAATATTCAATGCAAGAAGTCAATAGAATTAGATTTTTGTATGTTACTTATTCCATTGAATATTTTTTATTGAACACTTCAATAAAAAGTTTAGTAGAAATCCAATAGAATTTTCTAACGAATTCGCTAGGTTTTTCTACTTGGAAAATTTATGCCCAAGAATTTCCATGGAAAAATCGAAATCTAGTGATTTTTTGTATAATTGCATAATCTCGAATAGAATAGACGGAAAAAACAATCGAATTTTTTAATAAAATTCTATTAAAATATAATACTTCCAATAGAAATTAAAAAAATAATAGTGTTAATAGTAATAATAACAATAATAATAATAATTTTATATCGATGTACGGCTCTAGGTCTTTTGCAGAGAAATTCAAAAGAAATTCTTAAAGAAAGCGCTAGGTTTTCCTATTAATTTTTTTCATCCGTGATTCTACTATTTTCTAGAAAAATTTGAAAATCTTCAGAGTTCAGAATATTTGAATGAATAAAACGAGTAGACGATGCTTTCTTGAAAGAAAAGTATAGGCAAAAGTTCATGTTTGTCGCTTCAGTAGTTCGCGCCACTGTGCGTTGACACGTCAGTCATCCCATAAAATGTGGGATATTAAATTTGCTGATGCGATAAATTTTCCGATTGGCATTTACAAGACGTAGCTAATTTTACGAGAGTAAGAATTTTCAAGATTTACGTGTCTGCAGAAATGTTACTTTCTTATGGCCGTTAAATGCAATAATGTTGCATGGCTAATCATCATTAATTCAGTTGGAGGGTCGTTAATTGTAATGCAAACTGTAATATGTTAAGCTCGACGTGTTTGTTTATTTTGAATTTATCTCGGAATTACGAATTATGGAGGAAATTTCGGACGACAGATGTATCTTTATTTTTTTATGTGAAATAACTCGTCGCTGAAATAATTAAGAGGAAAACAATCATTATTCAATATGCACCCAGTAAAATTGTTCATTTGAATCAAATAAACAATTCATTCTTTTCAAATTAAGTAATTTTTTTAATATAAGAAAAATCTCTATTGATCATTAACGAACAATTTATTTGAATTTAAACAAAACCTCAAATAAAAAACCATTTTTCAATTTAAATAAAGACTTTATTTTGTGATATTTAAATAAACCTAATATCTGATTCAAATAAATTATTTCTCTGGGTATCAGTTGAAGAATCTGTTAAATAGGTCCGACACTTTCTCAGTAGGTTACAGATAATAGATAAATCAGTAATTATTTTGAAATTATGATAAAGTTGAAAAGCAGTCGATAACACGTACTTTCTAATTCGTTGATTGTCGAACGAGCGAGCGCTTGTTCTCTATCTGAAGAAATTTTCCACAAAAAAGAATTTTCCATGTTATGATTAAGTGAACTCTCATCGAGATAAATTTAAAATTCAAATAAACGTGGGACTTCCATTCACTGCATTTTATTATTTTACAACTCCCATAAACATTGTAAATTGGATTCAAATTCTATCCAATGGGGAAAAAAATGAAGAATAGTAAACTCTCAGAATGATTTCCCTCTCCGGGATGATTAACAACAGAAAAATGCTCAATATATCGATCACAGACCCCGACAAAATTTAATAGAAAAACTTAGCGAATTCGTTAGAAAATTCTATTGAATTTCTATTGAAATTTCTATTAGTTTTTGGCTGATTCTGTTGAATAGAAAATGTTCAATAGAAAATATTTAACAGAAAAAGTCAATAATTAGATTTTTCTACATAACTTATTCTCTTCAGATATCTTTTATAGAATTCCCTCGGCTCAAATTTTCCATGTTTTTTCATTCAATTTTTTTTCTCATCGAGAAAATCAAACTGGAAAATTTGGAAAATTTCAGCCGACGAAATTCTATAGAAAATTGAATTCTTTTGACTTTTTTTGTAGAACATTTTCTATTGAACATTTCAATAGAATCGGAATAGAATAGCGAATTCGTTAGATTTTTCTATTGAATTTTTTCATCCCTGCAGATCCCACAACCGTCGCAAAACTGATTGTTCAACAATTATATTGTATGAACATTTACGGAAATAAGAATAATGTTCTGCTGTTGCAGATTATGGGCCGCTGGATGCCATCCAGGAAGCGATGGGGGTCATGGGCCCCTGGCAGATCGTCATCACCATTGCCCTGTCCTTGGTGAATTTCCCAGTGGCTTGGCATCAACTGTCAATCGTCTTCCTGGCACCTCCAGCCAATTTTACTTGTGCTGACCGCCTGCCTGTTAATAATACACCTGTATTCGCGAATACGAGGGAACAATGTTTCGTTAACTCCACTGGGTCCAATGACACTGAAACTGGATCACTAGTGAAATGCAACAAGTTCGAATATGATAAGAGTGTTTTCGAAAGCACAATCATCACTGAGGTAATTTTTCGGTTAAGTCGTTCCCATCAAACATTATTATTTTTGATTTTATAATTGTGGAATTATCTCGGAAACGAATGGAAAATATGAAGGGAAAATTCTATTGATTTTCTATTGGAAATTCTATTAGTTTTTATCAGATTCTATTGAAGAATTCCGCCGCTTTACTATGCATTTTTTCTATACAAAATATCCAATAGAATAAGTTTAGAAAAATCTAATTTTTTTTGTATAGAATATTTTCCAATAAACATCTATTGCAAAAACTAATAGAAAATTCAATAGAAATCCAAAAGAATTTCTGAGCAAATGCGCTAGGTTTTACAACGTCAGAAAAAAAACGTAAGGTCACTTTTGGAGCTGACGGAATTCCCAAAAATATATCTGCTGTATCTTTTTCGTCAATTTAATGATTGAGATAAAAGTTAATGAAGCAAATTTAACGAGTTCAATTGATTAAAATTCTGTATCTTTGATATTGTAATTTTGTGATTATCTCCATAACGAGTGATTTGAGACGAAAACAGCAGGTGATTTTTTTTGAAGTGACAAAATTGTCTGCAACAATCGCTTTTGACGTTTCCTTCAAAATTGAATTGTTCAATTTGCCAAAGCATCTGAATTTCATCTTCAAATACTAAATGATAAGACTTCGATAATAATCATATATGTAGATCATGGTTAACGTCTTCATCGGGGCGCACTCATGATTCCTTTGTTTGATATTTTTGATTGCGTGTTTTTGAAATAATCTTCATAATCAGTGATTTTAAAGAAAAAAAAACGTCAAGCGACTTTTGAAACTGATGAAATTGCAAAGATTGTCTTCCGTAATTACTCCGTAACATCAATCATTATTGGGGTAAAACTCGATGAAGCACAGTTAACGAGTTAAATTGATTGAATTTAATTTTTTCGAATCTATAATTTCGCGATAGCGAGTGATGTCAATTGAGGCGATAAAATTGTCTGCAAAATCAGTCTTTTAACATCTCCTTCCAAATTGAATTAATTAAATTCAATATTTGCCATTCCATGATTTTGCAATTATCTCGACAACGCATGACATCAGAAGAAAACGTCAGAAGACTTTTTCGTAGCTGAGAAAATTTCCGACAAAAAATGCCTAGTGACATTTCGCCCTAGAATCAAACATTCTCGAGAGAATTTCACATGAAAAAATGCTCTAACGACGATTTTTCTTTGAAAATAAATAATTCTTTTCTTTTATCCAGTGGGATTTAATTTGCGACCGTCAACAACTAGCCAACATAGCCCAATCATGCACAATGTTCGGTATTCTCGTTGGCAACATGGTATTCAGCATGATGGCAGATAGGTACAGTACAAACTGATGGCAATCAACTCATCAATACTTTAACATGGAAATAGATTTAACTTGACACTGCTCTGACGCAAATACCCGATCAAAACAATAATTGAAGTATTTTTTACATCGACTCTGTTTACTCCAGGATTGGTAGGAAAATTCCTCTGATGATAGCTGTGGTGGTGCAATCGGTGACGGGGCTATTGAGCAGTTTCTCCCCCTGGTTCGAATTGTTCCTGCTGTGCAAATTCGTCGCCGCCATTGCGACGGGCGGGACCATGTTGATCAGTTTCGTCTTGCGTGAGTTGTTCGATGATAATAATTCCCACGATGATGTTCATAAGATGGGTACAGTTGCAGAGCAAGTGAAATTGATCTCTTCCGATTTTTTCAGTCATGGAAGTCGTCGGTATCGAGTGGCGTTCAACACTGTCCGTCCTATTTCATATTCCATTCCTTCTGGGCCACTTGTTGATTCCGTTGATCGCGTATTATACGCGAGCGTGGAGGATATTCTTGATTGCTGTTTCACTACCACCAATTCTGTTACTTTCCTATTATTGGTAAGGAATCGTTGCATTTTTTTAAAGAGGATAAACAGGTTTTTTCATCACGCGTGCGTAAAGTGGGAGTTTTCACAGGTTGAGGTGGAAAATGGGGTTCAACACTCGTGGGAAAAGTGTTCTTGTACACTCGCCTTCGGCGAGCGCTACGCACCCCTCATGGATCAAAATACATTTTTGTGATACAAGTGAAAAGAAAACGTTACTTTTCGCACGCTTCGCGTGTAAAGAATCGCTTTTTGCTCACCAGGTAGCATAAAATATCGTACGATACGTATGAAATAAATGTACTGTGTGATGAGTGTGAGTTCTCACATTCGCCTATAACTACTCGAAATGTACCATTTTTTCGATTACATGTCACCGATTTTCAAGAATCTATCACCAATTTTTGGTGATACAGGACACTGCCCAGGATTTTTACCACTGAGATTTGGTAATCCAGTCATGAACATTAGAGATGGTCGCTTAAAATTAGGGACAAACTCACTGAATTTCAGAATTTTGCACTCAATTAATTTCACAAGAGTGAATACCTAATAATTGCGGATAAATTCCTGAAAAACAAAAACGTTTTTTCATTTGAAATTTCCATTTTTACCGAAAATTCAATGATATTCCATGTTTTTGAGCGGAAAAAATACAAGAATTCCCCTATTTGAATTTTCAATCCAAACAGAAATATTTATTACCAAATTACGCTGAATTCTGAACAAGTTGAAAATTCAAGGATATATTTAGTTGAATTTTTCTTATTTCTGTTAATTTTTATGGAATAATTGAACCAAAATTGACAGTTTCCATTGATATTTTCTTTAAAATGTCGATTTTCAATTCCAAAATTCCTTGGAATTAAAATCTAATAAAAATTTCGAATACACTATATTTTGATACGAGTGCGTAAAAGTGTTTTTTCATCCGTGAGAGGTGTGCAGCGCTCGCCGAAGGCGACTGCAACCCTCCCAAGGCTCAAAGAACACTTTTTCCACGAGTGTCGAACCCTATTTTTCCTCACGATGTATGGAAAGCGCTACGAGCGTGCGTAAAATTTCACTTTACGCGAAAGTGATGAAAAAAAATTCCAAGTCCATGTCAACACATAAAAAATCCCCAAAAAACTAGTTTCAAAAAATCGTTAAAACCATCCCAATTATCTAAATGAATTCATTACAACTATTTCCATAAACCAGGCTAGTCCCAGAATCTCCGCGATGGCTCTTGGCAGTGGGCAAAATAAAGAGAGCCCGCAAAGTATTGAAAGCAGCTGCGAAGAGAAACTCAATCCCCGAGGACAAGGTAACAGCCGCTATCGAATCGCACTCAAACCAATGTGGCAAAGAGATTGAAACCGATACAGAATCATCAAAAACCTACAATCTGTTCGATTTATTCCGCACCCCCAATATGCGTATCAGAAGTATCTGCATAGCTGTCAACTGGTTCGTCTGTGGTATCTGCTTCTTCGGTCTGGCTCAGTACGTCGGACAATTGGAGGGAGATATATTCGTGAATGTTGCTGTATCAGGTATTACAATTGCAAATTTGTCCTAGAAAAACATGCTCTCATGAAACGTGACTTTCAGCTGCTTGCGAACTACCGGGCATCCTCATCGTTCTCTTCCTGATATCGAGAGTGTCTCGATTGAAGATTCTCATCGGTGGTAATGTAACGTCCGGCGTTAGTCTACTTATCCTGATGTTCGTTTCCAATAAAACAGCACAAGTGGTTCTTGCTACGATAGGACTGAGTGCCATGTCCATTAGTTTTCCCACTATTTATCTTTACACTGGGGAGTTGTTCCCGACGGTTGTCAGGAATATTGGGTTTGGATTGTGCAGTGTCTCGGCGAGAGTTGGCAGCATAATTGCACCTTTTATCGCGACGATGGTAAATATTTGGGATTTTTCTTGATTGATTCAATTTAGATTGAATAGGAGAATTAGAATGGTCAGTAGTGAAGCGGTAAAACGGTTCAAGTCGATCTTGACTTTTTTGTCGTGACCTTTTCCAGAAATTGTTTGAACACTTATTTATAAAAGATCACTACACTGAGAGAAAAATCGAAATGACACGACAACAACAATTTCTTGAGGGGAAAACATTGCATATTCGATCAATTTATGGTAGATTTCAGACGAGAAATCAGTGCTCGAGGATGATACTAGATCATCCTAAATGTAATGTAATGTGACGACTATAACTATTCTTTCATTTCTAATACATCACTTCTCACGCAATTGAAAAGCTACTGTTCTTCTCTCCCTGGTGTCTCATTGAGTCCTGACCGTTGAGATTCTAGCTACATTTCAAACAAGATCTATACCAAAATTTCGGTATCTCCCATAGATTCAGAAATATTCCTCGAAAACTCAGCTAAGGGAAAAGTCAAGTTGAACCGTTTTACCGCTTCGCTACTGAAATGCTCGTCTTCTGAATGGATCCACTTGAAAATGAAGAGTTCTTTAGTGGAATTGGTTAAGATAAAGAAAAGGAAGAAATCAGAAGAATACCCTTGAATTATTTGTTTTCATTCGTTGATCTGTTTGATTCGCAGGGATATTACGGAGCATCAATTCCTCCCCTATTCTTTGGAATTGGTCCCTTGGTCGGAGCAGGCCTATGCTTCTTATTACCCGAAACAATGGATTGTAAGCTTCCAGAGACAATCGAAGAAGCCGAGAATTTCAGAAAGTGAGATTTACTTTAAAAACATTAGTGCCTTGGTGGTGGTCTGCCTGATTCGTTCCATGTATGATTATTTATCCATATTCTTTATTTGTGTTTAGTGCCTTGGAGACTGATAATAAATGATGAATTTTACTAAGGGTTTGATAAATTTACAGGGGAAAGACAGAAATTGCACTAGAGGGAGTGAATTAAAGACTTCGGCACTGGATAGTCTCAAATTGAGAGACTTTATTGGACTGTTATGGCAGTATTCACATCACTCACCCACAAAACATCAATTCTCATACTTATAAGCGTCATTTCCCTGTAGGTTGTAAAGCAATTAATGATATTTTAATGTGTCGTTTCATTGAGTAAATCATGAGCAGTCATTGCTCAATGAAAACGAAGGACTCCCATTGTTTTTTGTATCTGAACTCATAAAAGTACTGTAAGTGAAAGAATGGTGCTTGTAATGTGAATAATATGAACATCAGCGAAACTGAATGATTTCATGATTTAACACAGTCCCTTACCCCGGGCAATGGTATACGTTCCTAAACAATCTGAACTCATATTAATGTACGGGAGGAGGAGAATTAACATAAGACATTCATTAATTTTGCGTTCAGTGCATGGGAGACTGATAATTAAAGACTCCGGCCTTAGACATTCTCAAAATACCAGACTTTATAAGACTCTCACAGAAACATTCACATTCCGCATTTACAAGACATCAATTTTCACATCGATAAATGTTAGTTCTTTATAGATTATGAAACAGTTCTTTTTTTTTATTCAAGCGTCCAACCCATATTTTAATGTCTTGTTTCATTGAGTAAATCATGAGCAGCCATTGCTCAATGAAAACGAAAGGTTCCCAATATTTTTTATTATTTTTATTATTTTGTAATGTGAATAATATGAACATCAGCGAAACTGAATGAATTCATGATTTATCACACTCTCCCATCCCGCAAAATGGCACACGTTCCTAAAAAATCGGAACTTTCTCAAAAGCTCAAGAACAAACTTGACTATGGAAATCATATTAATGAACGTCACGTGGGGATAATTATCATAAAACACGCATTCATTTCGTGTTCAGTTCATGGGAGGCTGACACTAAATGATCAATAGAAGAAATTGCATGAGAGGACGTAAATTAAAGACTTATATTCTCAAAATAACAGACTTTATTGGACTCTCACAGCAATATTCACATTCCGCATTCACAAAACATCAATTCTAATATTCATAAACGTCATTTCTCTCTAGATTATGAAACAGTTCATGATATTTTAATGTTTCGTTTCATTGAGTAAATCATGAGCAGTCATTGCTCAATGAAAACGAAGGGCTCCTAATATTTTTTTGTATTAGTACTCATGAAAATATTGTAAGTGGAGGAATAGTGCTTGCAATGTGAATGATATGAACATCAGCGAAACTGAATGAATTCATGATTTATCACACTCTCCCATCCCGCAAAATGGCACACGTTCCTAAAAAATCTGAACTTTCTCAAAAGCTCAAGAACAAACTTGACTATGGAAATCATATTAATGAACATCACGTGGGGATAATTATCATAAAACACGCATTCATTTCGTGTTCAGTTCATGGGAGGCTGACACTAAATGATCAATAGAAGAAATTGCATGAGAGGACGTAAATTAAAGACTTATATTCTCAAAATAACAGACTTTATTGGACTCTCACAGCAATATTCACATTCCGCATTCACAAAACATCAATTCTAATATTCATAAACGTCATTTCTCTCTAGATTATGAAACAGTTCATGATATTTTAATGTTTCGTTTCATTGAGTAAATCATGAGCAGTCATTGCTCAATGAAAACGAAGGGCTCCTAATATTTTTTTGTATTAGTACTCATGAAAATATTGTAAGTGGAAGAATAGTGCTTGTAATGTGAATAATATGAACATCAACCGAAACCGAATGACTTCGTGATTTATCACACTCTCCCCTCACACGTTCCTAAAAAATCTGAACTTTCTCAAAAGCTCAACAATAAACTTGACTATTGAAATCATATAATATACATCACGTGGAGCATAATTATCACAAAACACTCACTAATTTTTACATGAAATAGACTGCCAATGTGGTTCATATCGTTGTTAAAAGACGGAAGGACAAGTATTATTAAAATTCAGCCTTTGGATCGTCCCAGCTCTGGGGACGTTTCATTCGTGACAATGGGACTGAATGTTACGTTGTCGTGTGACCCAGATAAAGTACTTTGTTGGGTAAACCACTTACAACACCGTTCGTTCGTTTGTGCACGGCATCGAATACTTGGTTTCCATATTTTACTGTACTACTCAGGGAACCCAGCCACGTCGAGACGATTCCTTTTGATGGGGTTTTTTCTACTGGTGGAGGTTTACCTAGTGAGTGAAATAATTGTCGTTACGATTGATTGTTTTTGCAGTTTGTATTACTGCTACATTTTTTTTTCTCAATTCGAGGAACAACTGCACATGAAATTTTCATGGTGAATTTGAATTTATTTTGGGAGCAATTTTTGGAAATGGTAAGAACTTCACGGATAGTTCAGTGGTAATTTCGAAAATAATAAAATATGTAAATAAAAAATAAAAAAATATCCTACCTTTTTATAAGGCAGGATATTTTTTTGTATAAAGACGATATAACTCGGTAAAATAGATCGGTAACAAAAAAAGTTTCACTTTTTTTATTGTAGAGGAAAATAATCATGAAATTTCAAATCTTCCCGAAATTTTAATGGAATTTATCAGTTTTGAACAGCCGGAAGAACAGAATTCCTCAGTTTATAGTCCACACGCAATACCCCCTTCCCGTGTGCACTTCTAGTGCGGTAAGGTTTTGAGGTGTTTTCTTATGTTTTCGGGTATGAGAAATCCGAATCCGGTGGTATTTTTTATGTAAGTGCGTGCAATTAATAGTTATAAACAAATTAAGTGGTTTTTTTGATGATTTTTTTTTTATGGAAAACATTGGTAAATAGAAGAAAATGTTCAACACAAAAGTTGTTCCTTTTTGTGTAATAAATAATGATCAATTTTTTAAATCAAAATCCATCAATCCGTTGCCGAAATATGGTCCACCAGGTGAACGCGGGAGGATGCGCGGCGCGCGCAGTCCGCTCGAACCTCTTCCGTGTCGCGTACGCACCCATTTTCACATCATTTTGATGCTTTCGTCATGGATGCAACAACTGAAGCAGTAATTCAAAGATAATCCTACATAGAAGTCAAAATTCAATGAAATGAGGGTGAAGCGAGCGAATGATCGATCTGTACAACTCCACACCGTTACTTGAAAACGAAAAAAATACTCATCCGCATCCACATATCAATTTCTGACGATCGCGTTTCAATGATCAATCGGAAGCGGGGGTAAATGAATGAATTAACACTGTTGTTCAATCTTGTCTGAATCTTTGCTACAAACTCGGGTCTTCAACTCAGGCTTTCAATTAAAGACCCGAGTTGTAGACCCGAGTTTGTAGCAGCGATGTCAGACAAGATATGAATGTTTTTTTGGGCTCAAACGAAAGAGCGGGTCGAGAAATGACGTGCTAGAGCCTCTAAACATGACAAACGAACGCCCACCTGACATTTTTAATACACTCACACCATGAATTTAAAGGGAATACTGCACAAAGAATGAATGTCATCCAGAATTTATTTCTCGTCAATAACTTATGATAATAAATTTCCTGTCACCGACTGATAGAACTCAATAGTTAATTAGTTAATTCAATACTCCGGCCCGAAGAGACTCTGAAAAAAATCACGTATTTAAATGTGACGAACATTCTCTTACGAGGATCGGAGGAAGACTGATTTATCGGAGTATTTTCTAAACGTCAGTTGACTAAAACAAGAAGAAACAAGAATATTTTTGCAGCTGTCCCCTTCGAATTTTCTTGGAATTGAAAATTCGCAGAAATAATCCAAATAAATATCTCTCATACTTGGAGTATTAGTGTTTTGTGTGTTTTTGTTTTCCTTTCTATGTACCAATACATGAGTAGAGGTCGTTTTATCTGAGAAAAATGACGGATTGATGAGCATTCAGAGGACGTCGAGCGTCCCACCCATTTTCGCGCGTCGCGCATCCTCCTGCGCCCACCTGGTGGACCATATTTCAGCAACGGATTGATGGATTTTGATTTAAAAAAATGATAATTATTTATTACACAAAAAGGAACAACTTTTGTTATGAACATTTTCTTCTATTTGCCAATGATTCCCATAAAAAGAAAAAATCATCAAAAAAACCACTTAATTTGTTTATAACTATTAATTTATTAAAAAATACCACCGGATTCGGATTTCTCATACCCGAAAACATAAGAAAATACCTCAAAACCTTACCGCACTAGAAGTGCACACGGGAAGGGGGTATTGCGTGTGGACTATTATTCGAATTTTCAATAAAAAAATGAATTTTTAACGACGAAATCGCTTGAAATTTCACTGGAACAATCGTTTGATAGAATTTTACAAAAAGCCTATCGGAAATTTTAGCCAAAAGGTCAAATATTTCATGGAATTTTCAATTTATCTAGGAAATTTTGGGTCCAAGTTCCTTTCATTCGCCGCAAAAAGTGGGAAAGAATGACATTTGTTGTTATAATTTTTGCACAGTAAGAAGACAATTGGAATTTCGTGGATAGTTTCGTAATTTTCAGGAGAAGGACATAGAATTCGATTTCGGGAGAAAAAATCATGAAATTTCAAATTTATAAAGAGGTGGAAGACATAAATTCCTGAACTCATTTGTATTTTAAATCAAAACATGAAATTTGAATTAAAAAATTTGCTCAAATTCTATCAATTTCCATTAATTTTTTTCCCAAATTAAAAAAATCTTGAAGAAGTATCAGAAATGTCAAACAGTTGTGAATGTTATTTTGGGGGTTTTTGTTTAAATTAAAAACGTACCTATCAAAAATTTCAAAATAACTTCATTAACCATTTCCGGCTTTTCCTGATGAGGAAAATGTTGGGCGCCGGTGATAACTTTGATGTTAAACCTCGCGACGAGGTCAGAGCTTTGAATGACACTCTCCAAGGAGACTGAGGGATCCGCATTACCGACTATCAACAGAGTCTGATTGCTGATGGGCTCGATGGAGTAGAGCCGCATGAAAGGCAGGTTTCGATAGTAATTTATCGGCCCAGTCCAATCCTCTGGTGATGAAAGAGAAACACTGATTCGTTCCATTTCCAATTTACGGTATCATTTCCACAGTTAGTATCAGTTGTTCAAGTTGATGAAATGTCGATACTCATTGCAAAATGAAAGTAATGATTATGAAATGACGATGTTTTTCGTCAAATCATGTACGAAAAAAATTCAGAGAAATAACCAGTGAATTCGCCAGACAATTCTATTGAATTTCCAATAAAATTTTCATGGAAATGCGCTAAGTTTTTCTATTAGTTTTTTTTCTCACGTAATATTCAGGCTTTTATGGGCTCATAATGCACAAATGTTGAATTTCCTCAAACCAATGATTACAATTAAAATTTTCATCGTCCGATTTATAATTACCTGTTCGGCTGAAAGCGTATTTGTACGCTTCAACATAATTCTTTTCACTCGTTGTCTGATTAATCTTGAGGTGAGTGAACGTATCATTGATGATAGATAAATCTTCCTTAAGTGCATCTATTTCAGGTAGAAATGGAAGTCTACTGAAGTGCATCCATCTGAGGAGGAGCAATAAATTACTCAAAATCATTCAAAATTAATTAGAATTAATTTCGATGAAAATTGCAAGAAGTTTCCGCATACTTATCATCAAAGGTAGTATTGCGACCCATCCCGCTCCAGTAGTAATTCGGATGTGGACTGGATATCGCCACAAATTTATAAATAATGTCACTGTGTAAAGCTGCCATGTACCACCCCAAGAGCCCGCCAAGATCATGAGCAATTATGCTGCACTGATTCACCCCGAATGTTAAAATAAATTGGTGCAGTTCATCGATTAAAACGTCTATCTTGTAGCATTTCGTGTGGGTGGGCTTGTCGCTGTCGCCGAAGCCCTTCAGGTCTAGGGCCACAACCCTAGAGAATTAAAAAGCTGTAAATGGCTGAATGGTGAATTTAAAAATTCAGCCTCAATGCTCGGACGAATTGTGATATAATGATGTCGACACACATTTTCTGCGGAGAATTACGTTATACACGAAAATTGGTCTTTCCACGTATGAAAAGTTCAATAGAAAACCTAGCGAAATCGCTAGAAAATTCTGTTGGAATTCTATAGGAATTGTATGGGGTTTCTATAGGATTTGTATTGTA